GAGGAGGAGAGAGAAGGAGGGGGAGAGGAGGAGAGAGAAGGAGGGGGAGAGGAGGAGAGAGAAGGAGGGGGAGGAGGAGAGAGAAGGAGGGGGAGGAGGAGAGAGAAGGAGGGGGAGGAGGAGAGAGAAAGAGAAAAGAGAGAAAGAAGAGAAAGGGAGGAAGAAGAGAGGGAGGGAGAGGGAGGCAGCGAGCCCAGGCGTGAGGATGGCTGTCTGTGCCATTGCATAGGCAGCTGGGCTGCAGGCTGTGCTGGGGATGAAATGAGGACGGGAAAGTGTCACCTCATCTCCAATTTCCAGCAACTCTCAATGCAGCTCAGAAGACCTCTGCTTACTTAGCTCCTGTGAGGTTGCTGCGGCTCCATGCAGTGTTCTAGATGGGGGACCGATGTCACCTTCACCTTCTTCCCACTGCTTCCTATCCTGGGGTCCTCACTCGCATTCTCGGAATGCCCCCAGGATTTCATATTTCTTGTATGTCACTCTGGAGGGGACACTTCCTGTATTTGTTTTGATCTCGTCTTCCTGAGGGCAGGAGGGGAGCCTCCTGTCTCCCCATCACCGCCACACCCATCATTCTCAGCAGTACAAAGAGTCCTCACTCCTGCCCAGAAACCCCCTCCTTGACTTCCTGTGCTTTCCTTGTGTCAGCCACTCCTAGATCTGCTCTGCTCTCTCCTCCCATCGGGTCCTAACATTGGATTCCCAGAGAATTAATGCGACATCTGTTAGGTATGCTAACGTTGCTATGGCATGGAGGGGTATATCCTTCTCTTTAGAAGATGTGTGCCCAAGTATTTAGGAATGAAATAGCATGATGTTTGTAATGTCCTTTTGAGTCATTCAACAAAAAGGGGGGAAAAGGGTGGGAAGAAAATTAAAAAGAGAGTAAGCACATATGGCAAAATATTACCGACCCGTGAGTCTGGGTGGTAGGTACGCAGGCGCTTGGGGTACTGTGTTCTGACTCTTCTGTATGTCTATCATATTGTATGTTACTCCATAAAAAATGAGGAAAGATATTTACCGAACAAAGCAAGATCAGCCAGTGACCACTTGAATGTCCCTTGAATTTGTCCCTTCCTCTTCACTTCCATCACCAATGCCTGGGTTCAGGCCTCCTTATCGGCTTCCAGACTCAGCCTATTCCATTCCGCCCATTCTCCACAAAGGTGCCAGGAGCTGTCCAAACTCAGCATCACAACCCCTGAGGCCCCCAACAACCAACTCCACCAGCTTCAACCACCCTGGATGCTGCAACCCAGCAAGTCGCGGGTGGTCATCCTCTGCACCCTGTGGCTGACCACCCTGCTTCACCTCTTCAGGCTGGGAGGCCCTTCCTCCTTGGCTACCTGGCAATCTCCTGTCCATCCCTCAGGCCTCAGCTCTTTCCAGAATAGCTTCTCCCTCTTCCTCCTGCCTGCCTTCTCATTCCCCTCTGCCTTAAGCCCCTGTCATGTTCTGTGCCCACATGCACTACTCAGCATGGTGAACAGTGGCCGGATCTCATTCATCTGTGTAACGCCAGGACCTCATCCAGGTACTGCCATGTAGTACACAAGCAGATGGCTGTTACAAGAGGGAATGAATGAATCCATGAATGAATGAACCCATGAATGAATGATGGCCCAAGTTAGGAAAGTGGGTAAACCTTCTGATTTGCATATGCTTGAAATATTGAAGTGGTCATTATGTTCTTTGTTATTCACTATTTACTGAAGGACTACCACAGGCCACTAGTCATATGACCATTTTCATACCTAAGTCCTGCTTGATTCATTCATTCACTCATTTATTCCCTCACTCATCAGGCTCTTGACACTTGCTGAGCTTGGGGCACTGTAGACTTACAAAAGTCAAGCAGGTGTAGACACAGCTGTAGGCGGAGATAAGGCATGAGCATAAATACAGGAGAAAAGTGGTCAGGGTCACAGGAAAATCTAGGTAATGGGTAGAGGGAGTGCAGAAGAGGGAGACATGACTCCTAGGAGTCTCCCGAGAGAGGACATGAGGAATGACTTCCTGGGTGAGCTGGTATTTGCACTTGACTTTGAAGGATGGAGAATTTTAGACATCAGCCTTTGGAAGTGGAAAGGCATTGCAGATGAAGGGACAGAAGCACAGCACTAGGCCATGAGCCTGTGCAGACGGGTCACCACTTTGCTGGAATGACATTGAAGAGGAGTGGTGGGAAAAGCTGGGGAGGCAGGATGAGCTATTCAGCTTTCATTCTGCGAGGACGGTGCCATGGAAGTTTTTGGAGGGAGAATCGGCCAGGCATGCTTCCAGGTTATCCCAGCAGCAGTGTGCAGGATGAAGGTTTTTTATTTAACTTGTCCCTTGAAGAGTCCCTAAGAGCACCACTGACCTCACCGTGCACAGGGTTTAGCTCAAAAACTCGCACATACTAAACACTTAATACATTTCTTCAATTTCAATTGCACTGAGTCTAAGCACATGCGTGCATTTGTGAAGATATGAACTTCTCCCTCTCTTACTGCAATACACCCCTTCAGCCAATTCTCCCTAGTTGAAAACTCTCGAGGGCGGGAAGCTTCTCTTAGCTGCACTTCTCTTCTGCTTGGCTCCCCACCACTCCAAATCCTCAACACTCTTTCCTGGATCATTGCAACAGATTCCTGATGGTTGCCTTCCTGTGAGCTCTCGGCATGGCGACTAACCCTGGTGGACCAAACCCTGCTCAAGAACCTGCCATGGCTCCCTCTTATGTATGGGCATTTAAGATCCTTCATAGCCAGGCCACACTCTAACCCTATCTACCTCCCATTCCTTATCCACGTGTCCCCGACTCTAGCCAGGCCCTTTCCTTCCCAGTTCCCTTGTTCGAGCCTCCTTTTCACAGCCCTGCTCATGCTGCTACCCCAACCCACTCTTTTCCTCAGAGCTAAGCCTGGCTTGACCAGCAGTGTGATATAGTGTGCAGATTCAGAAAGACCTGGCTTCAGACCCCAGCTCTCTGGTTCTCCAGGCAAACATAGACATGCGAGGCATTCTCTTGGAATTTCATTTCTCTCATCTACAAGATGGGAACAATAATGATAGCATCTATTTATTATTATAGCTTATTATTATCAACAGGGCTATTGGGAAGAGTTAATAAGATTCTGTGCTCAATAGGTGGTGACACTCCCTTCTTCTCAGACTCCTTGGAGCTCCAGTAAGGGGTTTAGAGGGGAAGGAAGCTGTATTCCGAGGGAGTATATAACAGGTACGCGGCACTGCTGGGCTTTTGTCATTTATTCCTTCTGCACCCCTAAAATACAAATATTTTTGTCCTCATTTTAAATATGAGGAAACTTAGACTAGGAAAAGGGAGCAATCTGCCTGAGATCACACAGCTCTAAGCTAACCCTTACTAACTGTTTTCGAAAAGACCACAATAGCTGTTATTAAATATTTACTGTGTTCCAAGAACTACACTGGGCATATTACACACAATAGCTCATGTAAGCGCTTTATCCTCAAAAATTGCGCTCCCCAGAAGGAGAGGGTGAGGCTCAGAGAAGTTAAGGGATTTGTCTAAGGCCCTGCAGACAGTTAAGGGAAGGGCTGGATTCCAACAGGGGACCATATGACTTCAAGCCCGTGTCCTCAACTCCTGTGCTGTCTAGGCCAGTGAGGTGTCTGGACTCGGAAGGCAGCCCTGGGAGGCCGAGATTGGTCTTTCCAGGTTTTCCATGGGACCTGACCCACGTGTGGAGTTGCGGTAATCATTCCTGATCACAGGGGCCTCCAGGTAAGGCAGGCGCCACCCGGCATTAGCAGTGGCAATCGTTAACTTTGTCAACTTGGACACTTACCCAATGGTGCAGCCGGCGTCTGCTTCAATGGTCCAGATACAGTTGAGATTGTGTTCATAGGGAGCTGGATACCCGGGTGACAGCACCTGGCCCGACACTTCTCCTTTCACTGTCCCTCCACACTCAGCTGAAAGAAATCCCCAAAGAGTGAGCTTCACGGGTGGCCTGTGCCGCCAGCAGTCAGTCAGAGGCTCCTCATGCCTGTGTGCCCCTGAGTGCTTCCCGTTCATTCTAGGTGATTGAACGTAGCACGTTAAAAGGTCCCTGGATGAGATCTGTATCCAGAACCTACAAAGAACTCCTATAATCCAACAATAAAAAGACAAATAACCCAATTAAAAATGGGTAAAGGATTTGAATAAACATTTCTCCAAAGAAGATATATTAGCAGCCAATAAGCATATGAAAAGACGTGTGACATCATTAGTCTTGAGGGAAATACAAATCAAAACCACAATGAGATATCGCTTCACATCCACTGGGACGGCTGTAGTCAAAAAGACAGAAAATAACAAGGGCGGACTGCGGAGAAACCATCGAGGATGTGCAGAAACTGGAGCCCTCGTGCGTTACTGGTGGAAATGCAAAATGGTGCAGCCGCTTTTAAAAACACTTTGGTCGTCTCCCAACACACTAAACGTAGGATTATATACCTGATTGCCCTTAGGTATATAAACGTAAGAGAAATGAAAACATACGTTCGCAGAAAAACTTGAACATGAATGTTCGTAACAGCATTATTTGCAGTAATCACAAGGTGGAAACAAATCCAGTGTCTATCAGCTGATGAGTGGGGAAACAAAACATGGTAAATCCATGCAGTGGAATATTATTTAGCTGTAAAAAGAAATAGGAGCAATGGTACAGATGAACTTTGACAACATCAGCTAAGTGTAAAAAAAGCCAGACACAAAAGGCCACACACTGTGCAGTTCCATTTCTATGAACTACCCAGAACAGGCAACTCTAAAGAGACTGAAGGTCCATTAGCAGCTGCCAGGGCCTGGGGTTAGGGGAGAATGGAGAGTGACTGCTAATGGGGGATCAGATTTTTACTTGGGGAAACAAAATGTTCAAAAATTAGGTTGTGGTGCTGGTTGCACAACCCTGTGAGCAGACTGAGAACAACTGAATTGCACACTGTTACACAAAGCAGGCACTGGGGTGTCGGTCTGACTCCTACTCTGTGGCCCAGCTCCTCCAAGCCTCTCAGGCAGGAACACGCAGGAGCTTGAGCGTGCTCGCTGATAGCAACAGGATTGGTGTCAGCTGCCAGGAGGACAGAGGTCAGCAAGATACTGGCCCTCCTCTGGAAGAGCTTGCAGTCTAGTAGAGGAGGCAGCCACTGTGTGTGCTATGTGCCCTAACAATGGCAAGTGGTGAGTGGCAACAAATGTGACCAAAGGTCTCCTGGACAGTCCAGGAGAACCACAGTTTCTAATAAACCTTGAGGGAGGAACAGAAGTTGAGCAGGTTGGTTGGGTGGCCTAGGGGCTGGAAGGCACAGGAGGAAGAGTGACACTGCAGGCAGGGAGAGGGCGTGTACAGGGTTCCTGGAGGTTGGGCAGGGGTATGAGTAGGGAGAGGTGGTGGATGGGGCTGGGAAGCTGGGTCAGCATGGTGGCGTGAAGGGTTCTGTACACTGTACATGAGGCTGTTGTACAGTTAACACTATAGGAAAGCACTGCAGAGTCTGTACATGTGAGTGAGTTGATCACATCCCACATTAGTGAATTTCATCAGGAAGATCACTGTGGCAGCGGTTTGAAGGGGCACACAGGGGTGAAACTGGGGTGGAGAGATCTTCAGTGCCCACTGCAGCATTCACTGACGTCAATAACTGCTGGCTCTTCCTGGCCTCCTCCTCCTCCCCCTCCACATCTAATCTGCCTCCAAGACCAGTCACTAAACCCATGTGAGTGTTCACATTTGACCCTGCTCTGCCCACACTGCTCAAGTCTGGGCTCAGGCCCTCACCAGCTCTAGGCTGACACAGTTGTCCACCCTCTGCAGTGCTGTCAGTGGGATCTTTATACAATGCAAACATATCGCTGCTGCATTCATTCCTAGAACAAAGTCCAAACTCTTCAGTTGAGCCCCAAAAGCCCACCAGAGGGGCTCCCTTTGGCCTCCCTGAAGCCCCTGGTCCAGCTGAGTCTGATGAAGTTCACTAGCCCAGGCTACAGAGACTCCTCTTGTCTCTACCTGGACCAACGACCTGACAAACATCCTCCCTCTGAAACCTTTTGTGACACCACTCCCCCCTCCAGGTGGAGTTGATACTGTCCTCCCTGTGTCTCCAAAACAGTGTGAGTAGATGTCCTAGCACGCGTAATATGTCATTCAAATCACATCTGTCTCCTCCACCAGACTATAAGCCCCTTGGCTGCAGGAACTCTGTCTTCCTCACAATTGCACATCAAGTGCCTGGTATAATGTTTGGCACTGTAAGAAATGTTTAATAAATATTTACTGAATAAGTGGATGGGTAGATGATCAGATGAACAAAAGAAGCTTATTGCTTTCCAGGAAAATTACTATAAAGGGTCTGAATCAGGGGAAGATGAGTGAAAATGGAAGAGGAGAATATTTACTGCAGAGCTACTTAGGAAAGGGAAGAGTTGATTAGGGAAGAGGCCAGAAGAAGTAGGAGAAGGGATCAAGGTCACAGACTCTTCGTTGTTGCTACAAAGGACCCATCAAGTATCTCATGGACCCCTTGAAGAAGCACTGGGGGAGGGGTCCTCTACTAGATCCTTTGCTCAAATCTCATGGAGGGATCTCCCTCAGTGGTGCTGCTGGGACGGGAGGTGCCCACATGACTGGACCACAACAGGCTGAATGGGCCCATGGTAGGGTGTTGGTGAGAGGAGGAGGCTTGACTAGCTCCACAACTCAGGAGATGAGTGAAAGGTGGCAGGACATCATGCACGCCCTTGCTTGGAGCTTCCTGGTCTATGTCAGACCGGAAGTCCCTCCTCCTTCCTGGAAAGCGAGTGTTGGGGAGCACATCATCGTCATCGCGGACACACCTGCTCCTTTCCCCACAGGACACCCTGTCTGGAACCTGGTGGGGGGGCTGGAGAGGGCTGAGTGGGCCGCACGCACAGATTCACCAGCATCAAGACTGAAGACTCTGGTCTTTCTGGTCCTCTCCCTTCTTCCCATCCTACAACTTTGGCCAGTTTGGGCAGCAGAGTCTACTTGTCAACAAAGAAAACCTTTGGATGCTTGGAGCCAGTGATTTTCAACCGGTGTGCTGTGAGAGGATCATAGGTGTGCCACAAAAATTTTTAAGATCATTAAGTTATTTTTAAATGGAGTGCAAAGCACAGTAAGTATATTCTTTTTTTCACTCCTTTTTTTGATCAACATAATTTAACTGTGCCATGGATGTTGAACTATAGGTTCAAGTGCGCCAGGAGATAAAAAAGGTTGAAGAACACTGCGTTTAGCTAGAGCAGTCACTTCTGGTAGACCACGATGAAGTCTAGCATGGATGTTGAACTATAGGTTCAAGTGCGCCAGGAGATAAAAAAGGTTGAAGAACACTGCGTTTAGCTAGAGCAGTCACTTCTGGTAGACCACGATGAAGTCTAGTGCAACACGAGATGTTTAAAAAGAGGCACACCGAGTTGCCAATACACAGCCTGGGGAGTTCCATGGGGAAGGCCTCTAGGTTTCTAAGCACAGATGCTCTTACTTAGCGTGGCTTGAGCAGATCCAATAAATCAAGTTCACCTGGAATTTTTTGTTTGTTTGTTTTTGTTTTTTGGAGACAAGGGCCTCGTTCTATTGCTTAGATAGAATGCTGTGGCATCATCATAGCTCAGAGCAACCTCAGAGTCCTGGACTCAAGGGATCCGCCTGCCTCAGCCTCCTGAGTTGCTTGAACTACAGCCATATGCCACTATGCCTGGTTAATTTTTCTAATTTTTGAAAAGATAGGGTCTTGCTATGCTGCTGAAGCTAGTCTCGAATTCCTGACCCCAAGAAATCCTCCTGCCATGACCTCACAAAGTGCTAGGATTACAGGCGTGAGCCACTATGCCCGGCCTCCACTAGCATACAGGGTGGGCATAAAGTTCGTGTACAATTTAAAATAGTTGTACATGGACTTTATGTCCAGCCTGCATTTGATAATTATCCTATAATGTGAATCATCGCTCCTCCTTTACATGCTGTGTGCTCTGGCTTGCTTTCCTGTGGCATTACACTGTCATCTGTGTATGCAGGCATCTCCCTGGCTACCTGGCGTCTGCTTGTCTTTGTATTCCTAGTGCCTCGTAGGGGTGGTATGTGAAAGAAAGGAGGGATAAGAGGAACAAGAGGAGAAAGAAGGGATTTGTCTGCAGACTGGGTCAACCTCAAGGACAAAAGGAAAGGAAGTCCCTAGAGGCTGTGTGAAGGCCACTGCTTTGGTCTGTCCACTTTCAGAGAGTCTAAGTTCATGTCTTCAGCCCTTGCACCTGTTCAGGTCAGAATGTTTATATTCCCACCTTGGGGAATTCTAACCCGTCCTTCCAAGTTTCAACTGCAATATTCCCTCCCGAGCAAAACTTTCTCATATCCTCCGAATGCATTGCACGTTAACTCTTTCTATAGTGCTTCGCTTATGTGATAATTATCTGTTTGTGAGTCTATTCTCCTCGCTATGGTGTGGGAATGGGCTTCTCTTTCTCTTTTTCTCTCCTTTCTTCCTTCTTCTTTCTAATTCCACACCTACCCAGACACTCGCACCGATTCTGGCATGTGGGGGGCTTGGTAGATACTTACATGTTTTTCCAGGGGACATTTTGTTCTTACAAGATCAGCCAGTGTTGCATGAAGATGTGGGAGGGGGCTGGAGAGAGGGAGAGCCCTGATGCTGGGGAGACAGGATGAAGCAGGGTGGTGGGGATCCTCACTGCCAGGGAGCTGGGTGGCAAGAAATAAAAAGCCCAGACAAACAGATTCCCCGATTTAGTCTACTTTGCACTTCTGCCTCAGGCCACCATCTCCTGTCCTGGAATGCCTGGAGGTTCCGGAAAGCCTCTGCTGACCTTCTAGAAGAAGCATGGGCTTGAGAAGATACAAGTTCATTACTGCCATCTTTGTAAGACTGAGTTCAACGCTAGTTAATGATCTTGTTCTTACCCCTAGAAAAGGGGGCATGAGCTCCATTTTACCTACAGGGGAACTGAAACCAAGAGTGAGTTGGAGGCTTGTTTGAGTCTTGGTGTTAAGAGAACCTTGGAACTCAGGCAAAGCCCCACCTCTGCCACCTCTTCCCCAGCTCTAAGGGCATGACTTGGCTTTGGTCCCACTAGCTAAATGTGTGACAGAGGCAAGCCACCCTGCCTGAGTGTGCTGCCACAGGGGTGTGATGAGGTGTGAAAATGAGAAGGGGGTACAGGTGAGCCATGATGACCGTTAATAGGAGGATTCTCCTGAGCCCCAGGAGCATGGGGTCCAACTGGAATGAAACCAGGGTTGGAGCGTGGGGTTACCATAGACCCGAGTGGTTCCCAACAGAGCAAGTGGTCTCCTACCAACACAGACGGGCAGAGGCCGGTCCCAGGTCCTGCGCTCCCCGCTCAGACATAGCAGCTCTTCACTGCCCCGCAGGCTGTATCCAGGGTCACAGCTGAAGGACACAGAGCTCCCTGCAAAATGACCTCCGTCATGGACCTTGTAGCCAAACTGGGGGGTTCCTGGGTCCTCACATTTGATGAGTTCAAAACCTGGTGAGGAGAGAAGAGGCAGAGTGAACAAGACCTATCGTGGTGGAAGCCGTGCTTCCTGCCCTCCCTCAAAGCCACACGCCCAAGGAGGACATCTTAGCCACTGCCCCAGGTTCTGATAAACTCTCCACTGGTGATTCCCTCCACATTTCAATGCATGGTTGAGGGCATATTAAGGAGCATTAGTTTCCATGTTGCTATACACCAATGACTTCAGCTTTAATAGTTTTCAGGCCCAGGGTCTGGATTTTCTGTTTCTCTTGTTGACCCCCATAGTACTCTGCCAGCAGGAGCTCTTCTTTCCATTTTGCTCACTGAAACATTCTGATAAGATAGGGCAATATGGAGAAGTCACTTTACATACATGTTTAAGAGCTCAGTTATGACTGGCTTAAACATATCCTGTTGAAAAAGGCTGGAAAAGGGAACAGGCTTACACAGAGCTTCCACCGTATAGGGCTTTGCATGTGTTATCTCTCGTTTGTTATTCACAGGAGCCGTATAGGCAGGTATAATTATCTACATTTTACAACTGAGACTTGGGAAGGCTAAATAAATTCTTCACACAATTTTCATATGATAGAAATGTAATTCAAAGGTGACTCTATTTAATCCTCTTCCACTGAACCACCTGCTGTAACAGGCAAAGAGGCCTCTGTCAGAGTGGCATGATGGCTCAAGGTAGTTGCCAAAATAATTGAAAAGAGCAGATGAGGTTTTAGCAAGGAAAAGGAAATTTGTTAATGACCCCCACAGCAAGCCAAGCCCCATCCTAGTGACTGAAGGACCCATAGAAAGGGTTTTATTCATAACTTTGAGCAGTAGCAGTTGCTTCTGGGAAGTCCTCTAGGCTCTTAATTAACTCCGTTCTCAAAACAACCCACCTGCAAGAGTAATCAGTCTCATTCCCGTAACAGCCTGGGTTAGCCTGATCCAAAATAATCCAAAACAGCCTAACCAAATCTGTCAACCACCTTACTCATATCCAGCTAACTATCTAGTGCCTTTGCCAGATGGCCTAGAGCCCAGGTAAGGGGAATCTTAAGTATACTCATTTTTTTCCCCACTAGCTTTTTTGAGGTAAAATTCACTTACCATACACCCATCTAAAATATACAATTCAAATATGTTTTGGCATATTCATGGAGTTGTGCAGCTGTTACCACAATCAGTTCTAGAATATTTTCATCACTCCAAAAAGAAGCTCCATGCACATTTCCCCCCAACTCCCTCAGCCCTGGGGAACTACCCATTTATTCTCTGTCTCTATGGATTTGCTTATGTGGACAGTTTATATAAATGGACTTATACAATATGTGGCCTTTGTGACATGCTCCTTTCACTTAGTATAATGTTTTCAAGGGTCATCCATGTTGAAGAATATATCAGCACTTTACACCTTCTACTGGCCACATGATGGTCCACTACACGGACACGTCACATTTCGTTTGTCCATTCATCTGTTGACGGACACTCACGGGGTTTTAAGACAGGCTATAACATCACATTCTTTGTATTTGGTGGGCAAGCAGAAGCTCAAATACATGCATAAAATGGGAAAGCCTGAATTCACTGTACACACAGATGCAAGAAAGACTTACTGGAAAACTGCAATTCGAAGCCCTTGCTGGTGTTTTCAGCATCAGTGATGAAATCCAGCCACAGACTGCTGGATGTGCTGTTCAGAGTCACCCCCATCATCTCAGAGTTGCTGAACACACCCAATAAGCGGGCGGAGTTGTTGTTGCCATCGTAAACCTGGACACAGGAGAGAGCCCCAACCCGATGTCATCAGGATGGCCTTATTTTGAACTTCGCCTTTCCACCCCACAGCCCACAGCCCTGGAGTTTAGCACTGGTAACAACTGCTAGGGGCTCAATGAGTCATCCGATGCAAGGAAGACTAGCGTGGAGTGAAACCAGCAACTGAGCAAACGATCTTGTTTCCCCTTGGTGTCAGTTCAGTGCCCAGGCCATCTCTAGTGTGAAACTGGTTTTTAGGAAATAGTCATTAGTCTAACTTTTTCTTTGGAGATCTGTTCTTGTTTCTCCAACCCCCATATGGCACCAGTTTACTCTTCAGCAGCCCGGGGAGGCCAGGTTAGGGCTGCCTGCCTCCCAAGCCATCTGTTTCTGCAGACAGGCAGGATGAAAGCACTCGACACCTCTATATTGCTAAATCCTCAATCCTGTCCTTCCAGTAGATGTGACGGCCATCCTCCCACCTGATGCCACCCCACTGTGATAAAGGCCTGTCTTCTCCACTCTGCTGGACATGATCCCTGGGATCCAGGGAGGATGGAGTTTAAATGGCCAATATGTCATGGTGACTTTCCCTTCCCCAAGCTCAGCCTCTGCCCCTTTCTTCCTAAAGTGAGGGCTCCAGCTAGGGCCTGCTGGGCTTGCCAAGGGTGGAATCGTGCAGGCATCTGGCTTCCCTGACTCCCATCTGTCCCCCGAACTTCTGAGCACCAGCAAAGACAACAGTCATCAGAATAACGAACCAGCTCCCCAGGTTTCGAGGTTGCTGCTCCTTTCCAGATAATTGTACAAATAACAACAGAAGTTGTGATTGAGTGAAAGACCCCCTGGTGCTTTGGTAAATATCAAAGATGGGAACTATGGGTGGGTGATGAATATTTGTGCATGGCACACAATGTGGTGCCAGCTGCCAGCAAATTGGAACAATATTTCCATTCCACTATTTATGAAGCAAAGCTTTCTAAAAGAAGCCATCCTTCAAGCTAACAGCACTGTATATTACAGAGATTGGTTTGGGCTCCTGGGAACTTCAAGTCTGTCTCCAGATCCTGTGTGCAATTGCTTTATGTCACTGATAGACTGAGTGAATTCTGGGATTACAGCAGACATCGGAATGATACCAGTTCAAAGAGTTTAGCCCACAGCTGCATGTAAATTGTAATAAAAATATTTTGACCCATTAAAATATATATTGGGGTTAACGGATCAAGGCATTAATCATCAATGGTTGCTAATGTTTAAGTAAGAAATGCAACCAGAAATGGTATATTTCTTAGTGGAAGATAAACCATCACCTATGAAGTTCTCTTGCCAAACAAAATCAAACCAGATCTGATCAAGCCCCTGGAACTAATTTCCACCTTCCAGGAAATACTGAGGACAGAGGAACATGTGAAATGATATCCCGGGAATGTAGTCAGCAAAATCCAGAATGTGGAAAATTCTGCTAAACCCATGAAGTTATTTCCTTGACAAATAAATTGCAAGGGGGATAAAAAAAAGAGACTGAGGGAGAAGCTCAGATATTAAACAAAATGAGACCACTAATCTAGTGTGTGGAGCTTATTTGAATCCTGACTCAATCACATGGTGCATTTTAGAAATATTATGACATCTATGAGTTACATGTAATTGGAAATTTGAACACTCACTGGATATATGATGGTATTTGAGAAATTATTGCTAGTGAATAAAAAGTAGGATAGGAACAGGATATTGTCCTTAATCTCCAAGCATAATTCATCCTAATTCGTTAAGAACAAAAATGTTGTTGGTGACATTACAATAAAATACCCATTACAGGAAAACTTATAACAGAAAAACACACACAGACAGAAACAACTTTCAGCACTTAACAACATTGCAGTGACCATTTTTCCAGGCTTTGTTCTGTATGTTTCTTATCTTCTACAGATTTTTTTTTTAAATAAAAATAAGATGTAACTGTAGATACTACATAGGGCAAACTTCTCTTTCACTTAATAGAATTTGTTTATAGTTTAAGTCATTACTTATTTTTTCCACAACAGCATTTAAATAGCTGCAGGAGATTCCATCATAAAATTAACTCACATCCACAATATATTCAGGCCTGTAATATGTGCCGTGGCATATCAAAGGCACTCAGTAAATGCATGATAAATACACCGATGTTTTTCCTCTACTGCTTTTGTCCTTAAATCAACCTGGAATTTATTTTGGCATATGATACGAGATTCTACCTTATCCCCTTGATAGATTAGCCATTTAGCGAAACCCAGTCTGTAAATGTTCCACCCACCACCAATTTGAAATCCATCTTTTTCAAATATAGAGTTCCATCAATTTGGTGTTGCTTGTCAACTTTCTAGTCTATTACATTTGCCTACTGTCTATTCCTGAGCACGACCCACCCTGTTTTAGTTATTATAGTTTTTATAATCGGTTCAAAATGTTAATATTCAAGCGAGAAAGTTTTCGTCTTCTCTTAACTCAAAACAATTATTCTCCCAGATGTACTCTTATCGATAAACCAAAGAAGATTTTTCCCAAATTGAAAACGTAAAACAAAACCCTCCAAATACAACATGTAATTCTTGTTCTTTTTTGGAGAGTGCAATGGTGTCATCATACTTCACTGTGACTGTAAAATCCGGGTTCAAGTGATCCTCTGGATTTGGGCTACCAAGTAGCTAAGACTTTCCAGTGCCCCTGAGTCCAGAAAGTCTGGTGTAATGGCCCATGACTCCTGGCTAATTTTTTTTATTTTCTGTAACATGATGTCTCCCTATGTTGCTCAGGCTGGTCTTGAACTCCTGGTCTCAAGTAACCCTCTCGCCTCAATCTCCTAAAGTGCTAGCATTATAGGCGTGAGCCATTGCACCTGGACCAAAACCCAATTCTGACTGAGTTACATTAAATGTCTGGATTGATTTGAGAAAAAAAAATGCATTTGTGTGACATGTCTTCTTAGCCACATACGCAGTGTCTGATTTCATTTTAATCAAGTTGTCTTTTATGTCTCTTGGTGACATTCGGCACTGACTCCTGGGTATTCAGCCTTTCTATACATTATGTCCTACATTCCTTGGGAGTCTAGTTCATCATCATATGCAGGTGATAAAAACGTCTCCCTGAGAAATCCCAGCGACTCCATGCATATCCGTCACATCCAATAAGGCAACATGGCTGGTTTCAAAATGAATATGCTAAGCGGATGGCTTTTTAAACACAATTACACATGTGGGCATCATGTCTATGAACATTCCTGCCTGTCCCCTTGCATGTGTGTGCTGAGTTTCTCCGGGGCAGAGTGGAGAAGCCGGTTGCAGGGAAGGCACATCTTCAACTCGGTGAGACGCCACCACGTTGCTCTCGGAAGAGGAATACCAATTTATGCTCTCACTAAGCAACGTCTGACAGTTTCCTCGGCTTTACATCCGTGCTGACACTTGGTATTTTCAGGCACTCCGATTTTTTCCACTTTGACGGGTATAAAATGATATCTCGTTTTAATTTACAGTTCCTTGATTACCGCTGAGGTCGAGCATCTTTTTGTATGTTTATCAACGATTCTGCTTTCCTCTTCTGTGAACTGCTTGTTCATATCCTCTCTCCGCGAACTCTCCCTGCATTTATTTTAGTTAAATCACCTTCAAAATAACGTTTCATTGTTTTCTCAGTAAATATGCGCATTTTGTGTGTGTATGGGGGGCTCGTTCCTGGATGTCTTATAGTTCTTGTTTCTATTTTAAATGAGGTGTCTTCCTTTGATTACGTGTTTTAATTGGTTGTCGAAATACCAGTAGCTTTGCGGAATTGTGTGATTGGTTCTACTACTTTATTAGTTGATTCTTTTGTATATTCTAAACAAAAGAGATGATTTTTACATTCCTTCCTAATTATTATATTATCTTTTTTTGAGATATCATTATAACTGAATCTTCTTCAGTATAATCCTAAGTCCTAGTAGTGATAGGAGAGCTATTGATCTTGTTCTTGACTTTACTGGAAATCTTTAGGAAGCATAAACTATTTAGTAAAATAAGAGATTTTTAAGAAATCTCTTTTATGAGATTTTTAAAAAATCATGAGTATTTATTAAATTTCACTGCATGATATTCTGGGGTATATTAGCAACGTACTGTGCTTTTCTTTTCTAATCTGTTTACAAGATATTGGATGGAGCCACCATTTGATCAGTGTTGCCCTACCAAAATGGCAATTACACATGGTTTGTCTAATACATAACACCATGGGCTGTGCTAATTTTGACACATCCTCACATTCCTGGAATCAAGCCTGCTCGGTCATCATTGTTTTAATGCACACCTATGTATACTCAATCTGATATTGTAGCTAGAATCTTTAGATCTATGATCATCAGTGAGGTGAGGTTATTCTTTTCTTTTAAATTTTTAATTATAAATAGATTCAGTTCTAGTTGCACATGTGTCTGGGTATGAAGTGATGCTGTGATTTGTGACTACAATGCAAAATGATTCAATCAAGTTAACTAACACAACCATCACTTCAAATACTTACCTTTTTTTTTTTTTTCTGGTAAGAACATTTGAAATATACTCCCTTGGTGATTTTGAAGTGTACAATATATTTTCATTTACTACATTCACCGTGCTGTGTGATAGATCTCACAGAAGAAGAACCTTATTCCTCCTGTCTAACCATGGTTTTGTGCCCCTGGACCACGATTCCTGCATCCCCTTCTAGCAACCATCATTCTTCTCTTAGATATCACTGTTTCTATTTGACTCATTCAAAAGCTTTATTTTTCTATCTTCTGAAACACTTTTGTTATTACAAGGACTAATTTTTTTTTTTTT